ACCCTATGAGCCCTAAACCCTAAACCAAAACCCTAAACCCTAAGCCCTAAAGTCTGGGGTGGGTTTTTGTTTCCGTGCTTCTTGAGGTTCGAGGCTCTGGGGCCCAGCAGGGCTCTGGGTTTCTTGCTTCGGGGCTCTGGGGATCCAGGTAGTCTTAGGGAGACCCCTTAAAGGGGACCCGTCTGAACCCTATGGGTTTAGGCTTTAGGCTTTAGGCTTTAGGGTTTGGGGTTTAGGGTTTGGGGTTTGGGGTTTAGGGTTTAGGGTTTAGGGATACTTGTGTCTCTCTTAAAAGGGACCTTATTGAGAGGGCCTATATCCCCAAGGGTCCCCCTAATCCTAACTGCCAGGGGAGGAGGAGTGCCAGAGCTAGGCGAAGACAGGCCTCTGCTGAGAGGATCGAGTCGGTCTACCATAGGGGCTCAAGTAACTACTAATGCGATTTTGGAGGTTCCTTATCATATATAGTATAGTATACGCACCAACCCCATTCTAATGAACAAGATAAGGACAACAAGACTTTAGTCACAATTTAGCCACGCCGGCCACTATGGGTCGTAGCCGCACGTTGTGCACTACTGCCCTAAACCCTAAACCCTAAACCTTAAGCCCTAAACCCTAAACCCTAAACCCCAAACCCTAAACCCTAAACCCATAAAAAACAAAAAAACCTTAAGCCCTAAACCCCAAGCAGAAGCGGCCCTGCCGACTTCGCGGCTTATCAGTTTGTGGGCCTCCGGGCTCGTAGGCCCAGAGCAAAGACCCCAGGCTCCCCGAGCTGACGCCCCCAAAGTTCACCAAGAGCCGCAGGATGCAAATTCCCAGACCCCTCCCTTCAACCCCCAGTATGGGACTTTCCGAAAATTAGGGTACCTGATTTTGGGGTCCTTATAATAAGGATCCTACTATTCTATGTCCCAAAAGCCTCGACCCTGAAGCCTTTACCCTACGCAATCCCAAACTCTCAAAGCCTAACGCCTCGATTTTTCTTGGGGACAGCAACTCCCCTTTCGGCCGCGAAAAATGGCGGACTTCTCCAACTGGGACCGTGGCCTCACCACCGGCGTGGTGATGCCGCTTGCTCGGGACCCTTAGGGTTTAGGGTTTATTTCGGGAGCCGAAGCCCCCAGAGCCTAAACCCAAAATCCTAACGCCCAAGGCCCTAAACTCTAGACTCTAATTCTGGGTTCTTGTTAGGGCATCTAATTTAAGTTAGCATAATCAAGAAACCATATTATTTACTATAGATCCCCATTAGGGTAGCTTCAATAAGATCCCCTAACAAGAACCCAGTAATTAGTGGAGGATATTCAGGAAGGGTTCTAGGTCTTCTAGCGGCTCTTCAGACTCTTCTGGTTCTGAGGCCACACCAAGCCAAGCAGCTACAAGGGGGTTTAGGGGTTTAGGGTTTCGAGCCTTAAAGCTTTAAGATGACGCAAGACCCCTGAACCCGCAACACCCTAATTAAACACCAAGCCCTTCTAGTTTTAATCCGGGTCCTGACAGTTAGGCTGTGCCGTAAACTGCAGATTCTTTCAGGAAAAGGACCCAACAGCATTAAACCCTTTCAAAGTCTTGTGAAATTGCTAAACGCTATAAACCCGTAGAAAACCCCGAAGCCCTGAAAGCAAGCAGGTCCTAAAGTATGTAGATCTTAACCCACTGTTTAGCAACCCCAGACCCCTAAACCCCTAAACCCCTAAACCCCTAAACCCCTAAACCCGTAAACCCCTAAACCCCTAAACCCTAAACCCTTAAACCCTTAAACCCTTAGACCCTAAAACCCTAAACCGTAAACCCCAAAAGCCTTCAAGTAAATGAAGCCTTAAGCCAAGAGGCTGGTAGCCCTTATAGAGCGCTTACACCCCGGACGCTTGAGCCCTATACATTTGTTTTAGGGCCCTGCAGTAAAAATTAAGCCCAAGCACCATGAGGACTTAACTCTTTCAGTCAAAAGGTTGATAGACGATTGCCCCTATAGATCCCGACCCTACTACATAGACAGCGCTTTACAGCGCAACGCCAGGACGATTAACAGTCCGCATAAGGCTGACAGCAAGCCATGGCATCATGTCAAGCTAAAGCTTAAATCCCAAGAGGCTGGTAGCCATTATAGAACCGTGAAAGTCAGCCATTATAGCTCAACCTACGAAGCCCAGAAGTGATAGCCCCCTATGAAACCCGATCCGAAAGCTCTAGTTCTGCCGAGGGCTCCTTGTTACGTCTACACGGTAAAGGAGCCCAAAACCCTATTTTACAAAATACGGCCCCCACCGTATTAGGGCTTAGGGATCGGGGTTTAGGGTATCTTGGGCCTTAAAGCCCAAAGCCCAAAAGCAAAAAGTCTAAACCCTAAACCCTAACCCTAAACCCTAAAAGGCTGATCGCGGTGCTTTGCACTCGCATCTTTTTCCAGCACGGCCAAGCCGAGTGGAGTCTCGCACGGCAGGCGCCGACGGGGGCGGTGCTTCAGTGGTTTAGGGTTTAGGGCTTTAGGGCTTTAGGGCTTTAGGGTTTAGGGGTTTGGGGTTTAGGGGTTTATGTACATATATCTACATCTCTATCTCCATCTCCATGTGGATCTCTATCTCCATCTCCATGTAGCGGGAGGGCAGTTGGAATGGCCCTGGGGCTGCGCTGTCGGAGGGTCGTTGTTCCGTCTTGCCCCTAGTTGGAATCAGGCAAAAATTTGAAGCCTACAGGGCCTTCGGGGCCTCAGGGTAACCTTGAGGTTCAAAGATACGCAGCTGCTTCAGACCCAGAGCTCGAAGATAAGCCCTGAAACCTTCAGTAAATCCGAAGTAAACCCTAAGGACCCAAGTACACCCTAAATATAACCCTAGACCCCCGAAGAAACCCGAAACAGTCCTTCAGCCCTAAAAAAGAACCCTAAAGCCCAAACTCCCTAAGTTCTATCTCGACCATAAAAAACCTGCCTTTTTAAGGACGTGTTAAACAAGGAAATCAAATTCAGGACCGCTAGCGGAGGTTTGTTAGGATTCAGGTAAGCCCCACGCCCTAAACCCTAAACCCCTAAAGCCCTTAGCCCGAACCTAAACCCTAAAACCCTAACACCCTAACACCCTAAACCCTAAAGCCCTAAGCCCTAAACCCTAAACACTAAAACCCTAGAGCCCTAGGCCCGGAGCCCCTAAAGCCCAAAAGTCGCAGGCCTTCCGTTGGAGCACCGGGTGCAGCGAGGCGCTTCCGGCGCCTCTGCAGGCGGGAAAGCCTCAGGGCCCGAGCCCCGAAGCTCCCAACGGTTTAGGGCTTTAGGGCTTAGGGCTTTGGGTTTAGGGTTTAGGGTTTTAGGGTTTAGGGTTTTAGGGTGAGGGTTTTAGGGTTTAGGGCTTTAGGGTTTTAGGGCTTTAGGGTTTTAGGGCTTTAGGGTTTCAGGTTTTTAGGGTTCTAGGGTTTTTTAGGGTTTTAGGGTTTAGGGTCTAAGGACAGTATCACATACATACATACATACATACATACATACACACACACATATATATATATGCATATATATATACATAGCAAACATCGTGTTCACAAAGTCATCTTAATACATGTCGAGACAATGTCTTGCAGAACAGCATGATACTGTGCAGCTCAGTACAACACAACACAACATGGTAAGCGTTCGGGCATATCCGACAAGCCAGACTTATTTTTTGATGTAATGCAGGAGTGCAAAGTGGTGCCATGTAGTATTCACATCTACATCTTGTAACATCCAAGAAGCTTTCATAGCCGTTCCATGTCGTGCACTAGCCTTAACTGTTGAAGTCATGCCCTCAAACCTAAGCCCCGAAGCTTTACACCTCTTTAGAACACTCAACTCACAACCCCAACCCCGGCAGGGAGCCTTCAAAGAGCGGTTGGAGTCGACACGGCGAAACGACTTCAAGGTACCGGTCAAAAAGGGTATCCTTTTTCTTTGTTTGTCGCGGGCTGGCGACTGGGGCTTGAGGGGAGATTTCCTTGGAGCTTCTTTTGGTGGGGTTTCCACAACGGCCTAAAGCTAAGCTCTAAACCCGCGACAATACGCCCAAAACCTCACGCCCTGAGCCCTAAACCCTAAGCCCCGAAGCCGAATTCTATGAATAAAAGGAGGCCAGGTAAATAAGAGCACTCGCACACACCCAAACTGGTTGCCGGTACATTACCCTTACACCCTAAACCAAAAACCTAAACCCTGAACCCTAAACCTTTAGCCCCTAAGCCCCTAAACCCTAAAGCCTGCCACTGTAAAGCAAAACCAGGGTATCTGCTCCCTCTGGGCCGTCTGCTCGGATCTGCTGCTTTGCTGCTGGCCGCTGATGAGCGAGAACATGCTCTTCGGCGAAAGTAGAGTCTCCAATCTCCGCACATGGTTAGGGCTGCTTAGATGAGAGTCTAGGGTTTAGGGCCGTTTAGGGTTGAGGGTTTTAGAGTTTTCTGGTCAGAGTTCCAGAACATGCGGCACTGTCTCTCGAGCTCTCAGAGACTCCCAAGGCTAGATCTTGGCTTCAATGAAAACTGGAACCATGAATACTGATCTAGGTTCCTGAGTAGTACCCTTTTGCCCTTCTTATTTTGGGGTCTCCTTATGAAAACCGAACGTTAGGAAAAAGGGTACCCTTATTATTTAGGGGTCACTATGGAACCTAGTGATGGCAATCTTGTTCATGAAGAGTATATAGCGGCAAGCATCATTGTCACAGTCGTGGTCTCAAGGAGTACGGGGCCACACGTGTCTCAGAATGACGAAACAGGATAAACACCACAAGCATCGAACTGAAGGCAGCAGTGCTTTTAACAGTAGCAAGGGCCCTAAACCCTAAACCCTAATGGGGTTCAGGGAGCCACGTCACACATAGCAGGTCGCTAGCCGACTTCTCATGATACATAGGCTGAGCTCCTCATCCTCCAACCCCCAGAGCTTAGCCTTCAACCTTATCTCAGGTTCAAGACGCCGCAATTCTGGGCGACGGTCGTGGCATCCAGCATTTTGCGCTTCTGCGCTGCCCCGTCGCCGCGGGCCGAGATTTGGGTTTAGGGGGGTCTAGGGGGGTTCCTGAAAGGGTTCTGAAAGGGGTCTATAGGGCTTTGGGGCGTGCTGTGGGGTGTCCAGGAAATGGTTGCTTTTGGCTGGGGGGTTCGGGAATGAGCCTTCAGGGACAGTAGTAGCCAGCGTGGGTCGAGCCGCCTTCGTACCGTGGAGCCGCAGCGAAAGCGACACCTAAACGGTGTTTTGTGACTTTTTTGTCGCGTTTTGGTTTGATGATGCTGTACCCGGGGGAGGGGGGGCTCAACCAAAGCAGCACAGTTGTATCTGCATGCAAGGGACAGGTAGCTCTGGTCGGGTTGTGGTCGTGGTGATGGTGATCGTGGGTCGTCATCGAAAGCAATTGCCGCCTGCTCGGGACATTGCTGAGTGCGATCACGGGAGACACGACGATCGGACGTCAACTCTTTGGTTGATGGTGATTATCGTGCTGGTGGTGCGGTGCTTTGTAGTGATTTGTAGAGGAGCAGAGGACAAGCCCCGAAGCCAAGGGCTTCGAACTTGCGAGGTCTGCTTCGAAACTGGTGTTCTGATCAGAGCTTAGCAGCGGCGATAGCGGTCTGTTCCGCCAAGTAGACGCTTCAGGTAGCTTGACGCCTAAGCCCAAAGCCGGCTCCAATCCGCGACGGAAGCATAGAGTCTCAAGCGCCTAAGCACAGCTGCGCGCTCAAGCAGACTGAAGCTCGCATCCGAACCCGAAAAGACCCCGGTGCCGAGGATTCGCCTCGAAGTGCATCACATCAACTGGGTGATCCTTCTGGTCAACATGCTTTGCCTCACGATAGGCCCGGGTACCCGCCTTGCACATAGGCGAGATCGCCGCTCCTAAGGTCCTAAGGTTTCGAAAACCCTAAACCCGAAAACCCCCCTAAACCCTAAACCCTAAGCCGTAAAGCTCTGTCAGTCTGTCAAGCCTTTGGTTGAAGTGCGCGTGCATGTTGGAAGGCTGCATCATAACAACGTTTTCGGCATATGTACTTTCCAAACCGCCATGACACGTAGAGAAGGGGAAGAATCGCAGAAACAGCGATGAATCATGTGAAGCGGATCTCTTTGCTTTCGCCGCCGCGACTTCAGCAAGATCTTCGTGTCAGGATGTACATGGGTAATTCTCTAAATTAGGGTCCCCTTTTAAGCCCCCAATATAGTACGGCGCTCTTATAAAGAGGACCCTAAAAGGGGACCCCAATTTAGAAAACCACCCACATGGCACGAGACTGCCCCGGGCAATCTTCTTGGAGAGGGTCCTGAGACCTCGTGGCCTGAGTTCGAAGTCCCGACGCTTAAATGCGGATACAAACCATATCGCATAATATTATAACATGAATATGACATACAATAAGGTAAGTTGACAGGACGTGACCTAGTATACCATCGTAAGATAGAATACAACAAAATATATCATAGTATAATATGGTATGGTACAATGTACTATGCCACAGCATAAAAATCTACGACTATACGGAAAACATAACATAATATATTACAACATAAAATACAATATGACATAATACAACATGATGCGACATAATCTATTGTAATATAATGTATTATGCTGTACGATAGTATAACATGCTAGGACATATATCATATGGTATGTAATATACAACATGTAATATATACACGCTAGGACTCCCAAGCAGTACACTTCAGTACACCGTAAACCCTGCAACCTGGACCCCCAAAGCCCCAACCCCAACAGGCAGTCTCAACCGTAAACCCGGAAGACCCCACGCCCCCTGAAACCCTAAAGCCCGAAGCCCTGAAGCCTAACCCCAAACCCTGGACCATAGACCTTATAAGCCCATACTGTCGATGATAAAAATCCTGCATGACCTTACGAGCCCTAAACTATGGGAATTGTGGTATATTTTGACTGTTATGGCTGATGCAGGACTTAGAGCAACAACCGTAGGAGTCAACCCTCCGAGCTTTGTGCAGGCTTCGGCGTCCCCCGGCAGCTCTTCCCTGTCTTGGCAGTGGGCCGAGTCTCAATCGGCGTCTTCTCACCGGATCCTTGGCCAAAGACCCAAGGAATCCCTTCTGGGAAGCTAGCAAAAGCGGGCCTGAGGTTTAGCGCCTAAGCTTCCATTTTTTATACTATGTTAGAATACAATTACAACATATACGCATGTAATACTATATATAGCAGAGTGTGTATATATATATATATGTGCATACATATGTGTGTATATAACATAAGATGACCCCAGTTACGAATCCTGCACGGTTCAGCAGGACTGTCGCGATCTAAGCCTCGACCAGGAGCCAGTGCAGGTGTTGGGGCTCAATGCAGTTCTGTCACCGCAGCCTGGATGCAGCTTCAGATACCTTGTTCTGTTATGGTATGCCCTGTTGCCAAACATGACTACGGTATTGCCGGACATCATATAGCACCCAGTCGTAAAAGAATACATATATATATATACATACATATATATGCACACCATTATGCTACCCCCCTTTTCAGCCTGTATCCTGGAGGTGTTACTTCATGCTGGCGTGGAGACAAGAGCGTACCTACGACGTCACCAGCCGCCCGTGCACATCATGAAGCCTTAGGTCGAGGATGCACGGTTCAGAACTTGGGTCACTTGGGTTTAGGGTTTAGGGTTTAGGGTTTAGGGGCTTGGGTTCAGTTGTCCTAGCTCTGGGCATCAAGCTGAGGCTATTTCCAGCTTTACATGCCTTTTCTCAGCCTGGTCCAGAAATCGTTTAGAGCTCCTGCAGAAACCTTAGAAAGAAACCCCATAAAGTCCCATAGAGGAGCCCATTTGAGGGTTGTCGTCTCAGGTCCTGCTAGAGACCACCGACCATGTCACAGTGTCCCATCTTTCTGCTAAGCGCTAGGCCCTAAACCCCAAAACCCTAAGCCCTAGATCCGAAACCTTAAGCCCGAAACCATAAACCCTAAACCCAAAGCCCTCAACCCTGGGGTTTAGGGTGTTTGGGGGGTTTAGGGGGTTTAGGGGGTTTAGGGTTTAGGGTTCAGGGTTGAGGGTCCCATGGGTAGTTCTCTAAACTAGGGCCCCTTTTAGGGTCCCGTTTACAAGGGTGCCATACTATAGTTGCGACCTCGCAAGGGAGCCTAAAATGTAGCGAACTACCCACATGGACCGTCAAAGGAAGGAGCCTAAGTTTGAGACCCGGTTTTAGGGTTTAGGGGTTTAGGGTTTAGGGTTTAGGGGTTTAGGGTTTAGGGTTTAGGGTTTAGCTTATGTTTAAGACGCATCCTCATGCAGCTTCCATGAGGAGGCTCTCTCTTAAAATCTGCTTCCTAGTGGGTCCATATAAACCGCTATAGCGCAATTAGGTTCCCAAAGCCAGAATAAGGATGGTCTTTAGGGCCCTAATTCCATAGTGGTAGTACCAAGCTCTTCTTCAAGCCTCCCTGAACCCCAAACCCAATATCCTAAGCCCTAAGCCGTAAACCCTAAACTCTAAACGGCCCTTAACCCTAAACCCTGAACCCTAAACCCTAAACTCTAAACCCAGGTTTGTAACCCTTATTAACACGAACCCCAGGGCTTGGCAATCAGGCTTGACCAGTTGCATTATTGCAGAGCTCTTCGTCCTTCTGCAACTTGCGCTCATCCTGTCTCCCTGGCATGAATGTGGGCCGACTAATATAGAGGGAGGCCTAAAGACGTTACCTATGCTGTTTTGGGCTTGCGGGTTCCTTATTATAAGTATCGTATAAGATAACCCCAAACCCTATTCTAATCAAAAAAAGGGCCCCGACATGTAGACACAGAGTCCGCATGCAAGGGACTCAATGCCTGAAAGCTTCCTCGTGCATGGCTTTTTCGACTGACGGTTTATTGTGGAGTTCGCCTCGCTGCAATGGGCACATCTGCAGACCTTTCGCTTTTCGTGTCAAATGCAGACAACTGAAATGACAATGTTTGAAGGCTGCAGCAACCCTAAACCCTAAACCCTAAACCTAAACCCTAAACCGAAGCCCCAAGCAAGACCGGTTTGAAATTCGACTCACCTTAAACCCCAGCTTCTGTAGAGGCCATCCCGAAAACCTTGTCGCAAAGCCTGACGCAGAGAGAATTCGGCTTGTCTACGAGGGCCGCAGCAACCTAGGCAATTTGACAGGTTTGCATGAGGAGTGAGAGAAGTTAGCAGGTCGGATGAAGGAGCGCTTTTGATGTAAGCTACGCTTTCTTGCTTGAAAATGTTGGGGAATTCGCAGAGAGAAACGGGTTGACAGAAATCCTCTCCAGCATGGCAGCATTATGCTAGAACTGGAAGCACTGCGTTTATCTGTTACTGCTGTTCCTACTATTGCTGTCCTGCTGCGGCTGCCGCTGCTGCTGCGGCTACTGATGCTGCTGCTGCTGCTCCTACTACTACTCCTACTACGCCTCCTCCTCCTCCTCCTCCTGCTGCTGCTGCTGCTACGACGACGACGACTGCTACGTCTACGACGATGACAACAACAACAACAACTGCTGCTATTATTACTACTACGGCTACTGGCAAGAACCATAGCAGCATGGTTACAAATTCAGACTTACGCATATTTCGGCCGGGATAGTCAGCATTAGGACAAGCACGGCAGTACCAATAAAAGGAGCCTACAAGCAACCGTAGTCTAGTCAGTGCCACTATTACTCCACACATCGCAAGAGCAAGACGAAGCGTCATGGGAGTAGCAGTGGTAGTTGTCATGACAAGCGGGCTGAGTTCAATTGGAACAGGCCACTTGCAAGTATCCGCCCTATGGCCCTACGTGCCGCCAGGTTGAAGCTGCAGGGCAATCTTCATGAGCTGGCAGCGACAGTTCGGATGGAGTCGCGACTTTGCGACGTGGAGGACTCCAAGCAGCTTCGGGTTTTGAGGCTGCAGGCTTCGAGGGGCTCGGGTTGAGACGTTCAGGCCATGGCACGGATGCACATTGCTTAAGGTGCTGTTTGAATAGGTTTTCAATCACAGGCTTGTCCACTAGGAGTCGTCGAAGTTCGGTGTATGGCCTTGCAATGGAGTATGATCATACATTGTGCCGGCAACGCGCTATCTAGGGCATCGTGGCGCTAGCCTTCTCAACCGAAGCTTCTCAACCCCTCAACCTGAAGAGCCGAAGCCCTGAACGTCTGCCAGCTACGGCCATGCTGGGTATGTGAGATGTAAGTCCCAGACCCCCTGTTCTGAACACAGGCCTTTCCTGAGCGCCCGAGCTGGAAAGCCGAGAATGGTGAGTTGTAAGGGCGTCGTGTTGGTCAAAGTCCTTCATATTGGGTTGGCCGGAACCATAAATCTGCGCACCAAATTAAATCCTGAAAGCCCGAAACCTTTCGGAAGGCATCGGGGTTGGCTGCCCGGAAGCTCGTCACTGTCACTTGTGATGCCTTCGTCCGGCTGCCACTTCGCTGCGCTCAAGGGTGTTTAGGTTTCTGCCGAATGGAAGGTTGTCAGTGTGGTTCTATATATGCATGCATATATATCTATATATATATATATGTATATATGTAGAGATACCTATAAATATAGATATAAATATAAGCAAATAAAAGGAACTAAGTAAACATAAATGTATGCGTGTGTCATATAGCGTTGTAGTACCGCCTGCTGCATCGCTGGCTTCATGTACTCCTAAGTCAGGTCTAGCTGTCGTGCGCAATTCTGGGGAAAGCAGGAAGCCAGAGCAGAGTGGGTGTGCCCGAAGCCCAAAGCAACCTCAACTCCGGCTGATCTCGCTGTGAGTTGCGGCTTTACATATTCATATGTATGTGTGTATGCATGTACGTATGCATGTATGGTTATACTGTATGTTATTTTATGTACCAAGATGTATGTCATATTATGTACGAAACGTTTGTGTATGTATGTCTGTGTGTGTATGTATGTATGTATGTATGTATGTACGTACGTATGTATGTATGTATGTATGTATGTATCTAGGTGTGTGTATGTGTGTATGTATGTATGTATGTATGTATGTATGTATGTACATGTATATGTATATGTATATGTATAGGTATATGTATATGAATATGAATATGTATATGAATATGAATATGTATATGTATATGTATATGTATATGTATAGTATATGTATATGTATATGTATATGTATAATATGTATATGTATATACACATGCGCACACACACATATATAT